CATATAGCAGTGCTAGATGGTAACTCAATTTCGAGTTTTCCACGTTTTTCAACTGCTAAAAATATAACTTCATGCCATTTTGTCCCCAAATAATATGTATAATTAATCCAAACATCGAACAATTTCCGAATGTATACACTATTCAAATTTTAACAGAAATTGCAATAGCTGAATCGCAATCAAGATTCGTTTTCTGATCACTGCATGTAAAAATTATCGTTATTTTATCACCAAAGGTTATATATTGTCGAACGAAATTCCGACCACGTTCGATTCACTAGAATTATCAAATCTCAACATGAACTCAGTGCTAGTTGACTAGACAAAATTATGATCAAAACTAATGGAATATGGTAAAATTTACCGTGTTTCTTGCTCTATAGAACGCCAAAAAGATCGGTGATTTTAACCGGAATGATTTTGGTAAAGTTAACTAAAAATATGACTTTATAATAAGTGGTAAATTTTCGTAATTATATCATTAGACCTTAGAATGTTGTATAAAAAACATTTTTCGGCTAAATTTAACTTTTACTTTCACATTTATTTATTAAATGTGTGATAATAAAACTATAACTTTGAAAATTAGGGATTCTGGTAAATCTCTACCATATGAACGTAAAAATTACTAAATAAATGGCTTAAATACCGTATATTTTTTTTTTAATTAACCGGAATGATGACTTTTTTTTGTACTAGAAATGTCATTACTATACAGTGCGGTAATATTACCAGAATTTGTTTCGCTGTGTTTTAATGTCAATCGTTTCTAAACCCTTGATATAACATAATTTATTGCAGAAGGGAATTTATATTCCATGAAAATTCTGACTAATTCAGATTTACTAGAGTGTTTAAATCTCATTTCAAACTATGTGGTTGGTAAAAGAAAAAGAAATTTTATCAAGTAGCCAATTTTTTACATAGAACAAAAAAAGTAGGACACAGGCATATTACTTTGCCATTTCTTCGTTATCACATCAACATTGTTAATTCTCTTTACTGTGTTATTTTTAATAGTAAATGTGCATTGAAAAACTTGGTTTTCAATTCTTTTTTAATTTTTATTATTATTTTATCATTAATTTAGTTTTTTTAACATTATAGTGTCCAAAACAATTTGTTTTTAACAAAATTAAAACAAATAGAATTGTTTCTAAATAAAATGACAGCTTAAGAGCAAATTTATTCCTTTTCATTGTTAATACTAACCCCACATTAATACTAGCATCTCTCATTTTTTAAGAAAATTTAAATTAGATATCGAAATAAAAACATTATCGGAGATTAATTTTTTTTAAGTGAAACAAAAAGTACAGTTTCTGATAGCTGATTTGCTTATATAGCTTTTAGTTTCTTAATTTGGAATATTTTAGCATATTTCAAAAAGATTAGATGTATGCAATAACGTGTTTCGTAAAAATATTTCAACCATTAAGAACTGTGCTTATAATCATGGGAAATCATCGATATAACCACTTCTTTTAAAAGTGATTTTTAAGGTGAAAAACAAAGAACAGAATAAAATAAATAATAGACCAAAATGCTTCGAACAGTTTTCACGATTTAAACACGAACTTCTGGGAGAAAATTTATCTTTAAACTGTTCCTCGAGTGACGAACTATTCGTGGAAAAAATTTTCATATTTTTGTACAATCATGCTCGGAGGAAAAATATATAAATTTGGAGCAAAATTTTTATTTATTTTTATTGAGTATAAAATGTTCAAGTATAATTCTTCATTTCATTTTTACGTGATATCTGATAAAAACGTTTTCTAAATCCCTTAAGAAGACTAAAAACTGCTGATTTAATAATAAATATATAATTTAAAGTTCTTATGTTTTATTCTATATATTCAAGAATATTTTAAAAAGGATAATATACGTACAGTGTTCAAAATAAAAGCAGAACACTTAAACAACTTTTGATGTAGTCTTGCACTGAATAAAATATTTCGGTAAAATTACTGTACAGTGTGATAATGACATTTCTGGTAAAAACTTATAATTAATCAAAACCAAAATCCATTTTCTAGTTAATATAGTTATCTAGTTCCTAAAAAATAAATCCTAGTAATGGAATACTAGTTCCATCATTTTTTTTTTCTTTTTGATAAAAGAAATCGAACTTTTAAAAGAACGCTGAGCACAAATGGGTTATACTAAATTACTAAAAATGACAAATTAGAAAATAAAACAATACTTTTTGCCAGAAATTATCTCTAAAAAAGTAAGTTTGATGATTGAGTGCAAAAGGATTTCGATTTGCTCTTATATTTTCCGAGAAGCGATAAAAACAAGTAGAAAAAAGAGTGAAAATAACATAAAGTGATTAAAGCTACCACCTTTATTTTTATGATTACGAGTCAAATTCCATCGAATTAAATGTATGCTAATTCAGACAAGGTATATTTTTGTGTCTTATTTCGTAACTTAAAAAAGAGCCTACGCAACCGTTATCGTTTTTAAATCTCTACACCGCAAACCTTAAATATTATATCTTAGTAGGTAAAAATGCGATCATTCGATTAAAAGTCATCAATGTGTTCCGTTTTTTATTTTAGGCTCTTTATAACAGAATTATCATATATTATCAATAATAAGATCATATTCTTGATTCGTTGCCTATTGTTATTCACCAGACTAATAAATATTTGTCTAGTGAAGAACAATAGGCAAGACAAATTCATTTCAAGGAAATTTTCGTGGAAATATTTTAAATTTACATAATTTTTCATAACAATTACATAATAATTTGTGTCACTCTTACCAACAAAAATATAAAATTCTGAGACATTAAGAAAAGTAGTATTTTAAAGAAATTACAGGGTAACAAAAAAGTATAGGGATCACTGTTGTGGTTATCTACAACTAAAGTTTTAAAACCTTTTTACATATATAGCATACTGATCTAAAGCTCTGCTATTAAACTTTCAATTGCAATACTATTTCATAAAATCACAAAAATGCCTTTGAAGAAATTTGACAAAAAGCTAATTGGTCAAGTACAAGCATTTTTAGAACTTCGATGGAGCCACAGGATTATACAAACCCATTTTAAAAAGAAAGATATTGTGATTTCACTCAGCCGTATCAGTCGCATCAAGAATTCAAAACTCGGATCGATGCAAAATATTGCAAAACCAAAAAGAAGTGGACGACCAAGCAAATTGAAGAAATCAGATTTGCAGAAGCTTGATAAGATGACATCAAAACCGGATCCACCAACACAGGCAAGCATGGCTAAAGCTCTTAACGTGAGTCAGCAAGTTGTAAGCTATCAACTAAAACAAAAGTTGACGAAAAAATGCCATGAAAAACCTAAATGTCATCATTTAAGTGAGAGATCGGTGCAGATTAGGAGGCAACGTTCATGGCCCCTCTACAAGCTTCTCCGTAAGGACAGATGGCGAAGTTCATTACAACTGATGAAGTTTGGATCAATCTATCTGATACCAATGCTATATCTAAAGTTCAATATCTTAGTCGTGGGCAGAACAGGCGAGACTTGACACCATCAACCACGGTGCCTCATCCCAAAGGCGTAATGGTTTGGATGGGCATATCCGCCCACGGTGAGACCAAACCTCGGTTTGTGAAACCTGGGGCCAAAATAAATTCTGAGTATTACATACAGAAGATATTAAAGCCCTTTCTTAAGGATGATTACTGCAGATTGTACCCTAATAGTGATGCTGTTTTCCATCAGGACTCTGCCCCATCGCATGCATCTAAGGTCACCCAGAAATTCCGAACAGATCAGCAAGTGCAATTCCTGAGACCAGAACAATGGATTCCAAACAGTCCTGATGCTGCACCATGTGACTATTTTCTATGGGGACATCTGAAAAACAAACTGAATAAGCGAAGAATTTCTATATTAAGAGGCCTTCAAAGAGCTATTAGAGATGAGGTGAAGAAAATCCCCCAGGAAATCATTTTGCGGGCCTTAAAATCATGGCCGAAGCGTTGTAGAAAAATCTATTATGCCGGAGGTCGACATAATGAGAAGCATCGCTGAATTTATGTTATAAATTTTGGAAATAAAAACGTTAAAAAATGATCCCTATATTTTTTTGTTATCCTGTAGTTGTAAGAAAATATAGTTATCTGTAATACAAATCTCTAAATTTCGTTCTTACAATAACTTTCCAAAAACGAAAAATTCCGCCATATTTTTTACCGGTGTAAAGTGGCCAAAAGAAGAAAGGCATGAAATCAATTAATGAAAATATAAATTTTTGCTTAACTAAATACCATAGTCTAGGTATTAATGTTATGATATTGAAGCATTATAATATTTAGTGCACAATCCAAATACTATTACTACTTTATCCACTGATCCCTACATCTTGTATTTTCAATACATATTGTTTCAATGATTAAGTTTTAAAATGTATTTGAGCTTACAATCTTACTTATATGGCTTTCGCTGGGCATTTATATGAACCTTTCGTAGTCAACGGGCTTATAGAAGGGATATCAAAACTTTTAGCATGCAAGTCTGCTTTCCTTATTATTTTATCACCCGTTGAAGCTTTAAGTAATTTTGAGTTCTCAATTTCAGAGACAATTCCTCATTAAAAAGAAGAAAAGATGTCGTTATAAGTTAAAAAAGTATATAAAATAATAAAATTCTACCTGAATCCCTAAATTGATCCTTATTTGGTTAATGAAAGCTTTTAAAAAATTCCTAACTCCAACTCCTTTATTTAACCAAAAAGAGATATATCTCAATTTCAATCTGTATCCTTTGAGAACCATTAAAGAACTCATTTTTCTTATCTTAATTACTTCTGTGGATTTCTTTAAGATGCTTTAGAAGCAATAACTAGCCTTTAGTAGTAGTTACAGAAAAAAATAGTAAAGACGTACTATGCTTACCTAGTTCCAATTTCGTTTTAACGATTCCCGGGGTATTCCTCCCTTTGGGAGTTTCGAACCAATCCATTACAACCAAAGAAAGTGATATCGATATTAAGTAAAGCTCTCAACAATTTTGCTTAATAAGAAATAACACTTTAATCTATGTTCCAAACTTAAACAGCATTTTGGAAAAGCAATAATTAAAAATTCAATTTGAAAACAATTTAATCCGTTGCCTGTTGAAATTATGGTGGGTTTTTGTTTTCATTCTTGAAAAACTGCTCGAAATCTTATTTGTTCCAATTCTGAGTCCCATTCTCCAGTGGTGCTTAGTTTTGCAGCTAATCTCCCGACTTCATCTGAAAATTTGGCAGCTTTGCCATTGCCTGCAACTGCAACTGTGAGGGTTGGGTTAATACGATCGATGTATGGTAGTCCAGTGGGAGTGTGGCAGTTGACACAGGTTCTACTGGTGATACTATCATACCTCAGACCTAGAACAAAATGAAGTATTTTAAAGTTTACTTAAGCCTAAATAAATTTTTGAAATTAAAGTAGTTTAATTTAGTTTTTGGGTATTAAATTATGTTATAATATTTAAATTGAATTTTTATGTAATAATATTTAAAGTATATGCAATTAATTTTTGTGTTATTAATTTTTTGTGCAATTAATTTTTGTGTAATTAAATTTAAAATAAAATAATGCCATCGAAGGGATGTATATCTTCCCAAATGCACAGATTTTGTGTGATTGGCAAGAAATGCAACTCTTGACATTTTTAATTAGATTTGCGGACTCCTAATGATATTTTGTACTTTATTTAAATTTGGTTGCATATTTTCAGTTCAATTCGGTGCAATAAATTTGCTAAGTTTAATAAAAGTTTCTTAGCATGGATTATCGCTGATTGTTAAAATATGTTGTATAACTAAAAATAAAAAATGTTTGAAAATATTCTAAGTTTTCATATTTTAAAAATTGTTAAAAATTCAAAAAATTTATTTTTTAAAAAATTGAATATTTTGGCTAACATTTTTATGATAGCTTTAAATTTTTACAAAACAATTTAATATTGCAGTTAAAATTTTGATTGACAGACGAAAAACAAAAATCTGACATTTTTGCAATTTAAGAATTAAAAGAATTTTAAAATGACAAGAATTTTTTAAAAAATTGTAGACAAATTTTTGCTAAAATTTGATAGACATCCTTAAAACAAAAGAACAAACTTGAAAATTCATGTGACCTAATCTGCATTATTTTTAAGTTAATAAAGAGCTTTAAGAAATTATTATTATTTTATAATTTTTTTTATTTTTTTAAAATTTTTTAGCAGAAAAATTAAGCAATTTATCTGAAAACCCAAAAAGCAAAAACTTTATTATAGTTTTTTTCGTTGGCATTTTTGACTGTATGACAGCTGGGGGAAAGCAGCTTAGATACTAACCTGGTAACTCTCTCTTAATAAGTCTTTCCTGCAATTTAATTAGATTTTGGTCCCCTCCTGATTGATACCATTTCTTGATATCATCCAAATCTTTAGCTTCTTCTGCACATCCATCTATTCCAACTTTTATGCTGAACTTACCTTTAAAAAGAACTATAATAAATCAGTGTGAAAATAAAAAAAAATTTATTAAGAAAAAATCCTTAGCAAATAATATAACGCATTAATGACTAACGAAATATTTAATAGTATTTTAAAGATATTCGGACCTTTGTCTAACGCGTGACCATATATTTCCGAATAACATTTCGTATAGTTCCAAGAATATATAAGCCAATCTGTGTCCGTAAGTCAAGAGTGCTCTTTTCTTTTGTTCGAAGTTCAAAAACCATACTAAACAGCTGACATAAAAAATAAATTCTGCCCGTTTTTTTTTGGATAACTGTAGTCTTCCCTTTACATATCGTTCATTTAAAACGGGATAGCCCTGCTAACATCGTACTTACATAATCACCAGATTGAAAACGTAAAAGAGGAAGTTCGTGACTTACTTGGCTAAGATACATGCACCAAGATGTGGGCAAAGCAAAACTAAAGGGATGGGATGAGGCTAGAAGAAGAGCAGGACAGGGGTGCCTAAAAAAAGAGACTCCAGAGCTTATGTGAAAGCTAGTTTAAAGAGGATAGGTAGGTAGTCATCCCTTTTGGGCTGCTCATCCATTTTAATGTAGTCTTTAAACTTTGTTAAGAAATAAAAACCCACCACAAAAGTCCCATAGATTATTTCCTTCCTACTTTTGTTTCCCCTTTTTCTTCTCAAGCTATTGAAGTTAATAGTCCGGTTCTACGTTATCAGCAACTTGGCAAAAAACCAAAGTAAATCAGGCGCTAACAGCGAGACTTAACTAAATTCTAAAGCTACTTAATTTCCCTATTCTTGTTCTAATTGTTTGCAATTTTAGGGTTAAAAAAATATTAAGTGGTTAAAGAAAGTTTTATTATAAAGATATTCAGTTCCTATTGTGTTTTTTACGTTTCTTTCTCAATTGTTAATTAAGCTCTTTATTTTCAATTGTTATTTTACGCATTATTATGCTGTTTCGAGATATTTAGCTGTCGGTTGCTAAATCAATGGAAAAGTGTTTTAATTGGCGAAGTTCGAAGTTAATGGTTTCGATTAAAGCCTGACCCATCCCCTCTATTTAAACTTTAGAAAATTTTCGAAAATTTCTCTGCTTTTATTCGGAAATATATAATTTTCTATCTTTAAATCGAAAATTCTCAATAATTAACAAAAAGAACAAGAAAACAAAACCGAAGGCATATTTAACTATTAAATATATAGATCAGTAAGAACGTTTGCTATAAATAAAGTAAAAATAAATCAACATCTAAAAGCCCTATACCATATTCATTAGTTTTCTGATAAAACTCATAATTAAAAATTTTCCTCATATTTTAGAGCAATATATACTTTTAAAGCTGTTAACTAAATCCAGATATAATTTTTTTATTATACTTCAAAAACCCTTAATAGGAATTTTATTTTGTGCAATCCTACATTTCATTTTTTAAAAAAAGTGATTTCTTGCTGACCAAATCTTTCCAATTTCGCTTCTTCTTTTTTCTTCCTTACTATGATTTTTCGATTCATGTTTTCATATGCTCCATAAAAAAATTCTTTGAATTAGCTTTTTATATTTACCATAAGGATTGCTTATTGGTTTGGAAAAGGGTAAAATTCTTATAGAAGTGCAATCATATTTGTTTTAAAAATGTAGCCTTTAGTACAATGTTTTTTATAGGTTTGCAATTTAAATTACTTATTTAAATAATTTGAAAGTAAGCTTCAAATCAAGCAGTACAACGAGAGTAATACTATGAATTAAAACCATGGGTAATACTTTTTGTTCGTAATTTGTTGACCTTCGATGAAAATTAATGGCCAAAAATGAGAATTTTCTTTTTTTTTCATTTTGTTAATTCACGTAAAATGGTTTAAGTAAAGCCGACTTCCTGTCACAACCAGTGACAATATAGTTTTAACGATGCCATTCATAAGTACTGTAATTAAAGCACTCACCTGCAGTATATTCTACAGGAGGAAGGAAATAGCTAAAGACTCCTTTAGGAAATATTTCATCACTACCTCTTACGTATATAACATCTGGCAATGAACTGGAAAAACATAATCGATTGTATAACTTCTTCGAAAAAATTGAAATTTATTGATACCAATGTTTTAATTAACGAGATAAAATTATGATAAAAAAACATTTTTTCTTTATCAAAAGAGAATTTTATGACAATTTTTGTCTGCTTTTGTCACTTCTTTTGACGAATAAATAAATCTGGAAAATATCATAAATAATTGAATTACCTAAACAAATATTATGTTTAATTCATTGACCATAATCATACTTTATGAGACCAAGTTCATTATTTATTCAAACAATCCAAGGGAAATTAAATTTAAGAATAAATTATAATTTGAAACACAGTTATTTTAAAAAGGAAGTAGTTTTTTTAATTAGTTATAGAAATTTTTGCCCGTACAATCGTTAAAATGATTTTCTAAAAATATTTCTAAGTAGTATACCTAATGTATATATATAATGTGTACCTAATGTATTATGTGTATTATACCTAATACACATAAATTCAATTAAAATGTCAAAATTTTATCTTCTAAAGCTAGAACCCTTGGACTTTCAATTACCTTCAATTATACAAAACTATTTTTATTTTTAACTTAATTACAGCAACTGGTATGTAATTTTACATAAATATTACAAGAATAATGGCTATTACTTTGACATAAGTTTTGAAAAGTAACTGCATAAAATAATGTGTTTAAAAAAGAAAATTTTACTTCAGTCTTTCTGTTTCTTCTTCGGAAACTTCAAGCAAGGCGATTGTCTCTTTGTGCTTTGAAACAAGCAAAGGCTTCAAGTCACTATGAATCTTCAAATTTATAAATGCTCCAGTCGCTATCAGCACTCTTTTTGAAGTTATTTTATTTCCTGCTTCGGTTTTTATCTAAAGAGGAAAAAAAAATTTGAAAGTTAAGTAAATCACAAATGAGTAGAGAGTCAATAAAAACATCAAAACTCGTTTTGATTTCAAGCAGAATGTAAGAGGAGCTACAAGAAAATTTTTAGAAACATATCAAAATTTATTAAAAATTAAATTGGTTTCTGATATCATTAGGCTGGAATTAATGGCTATAAAACTGGTAAACTATCTTTTATTCGATTTTCTTACTGATTTAAGAGATTCGATGCAAAACAAATTAGTTCTTTTTAATAGTGAGTTATATTAAAAAAATCTTTTTACTTACCTTGGAGGAAAAGATGAGATTAAATTATTTAAAAAATTATTTGAGAAATAAAACGAATTTTATTTTTTTTAATTAGCGAATATAGAAATTACTTTACACATTTTTAATATTCAGTTCTTTGTTTTTTTCTAATACTTTTTGATTATTTCGTAAATCATCTAAAAAAAGAGACAGCTCTGTTTTTTCTTTTCAAATCAGTAACTCAAACTCACTACACAACAAACAAGTTCATGCACATAAATTTTTAATTTACGAATTCATTGTAAAAAATGGATGCTCAAATTTCACGCCATACTCTTCGTTCTTGTCGAAACTCTTTCGGGGTATATGCTCGGAGCAAACATTTTGTCAAAGTGACGAAATAATTCGCATTTTCGTGACGTAATGACTCACAAAATTAACGGAATACAGTTCAAAGATGGCTGAATAGTCAAAAATGAGAGTTTCACTTTTAAAATGTTTTAAAAGGATCCTTAAACTCGGCACATACTCAAAAATACCAAAAATAATTCATCTTTGAACTCAGAATTATTTGATAAGTTGCGTAGTGAGCTAACCCACTTTCCTAATGAGCTCTTTTATTTATTGTGGGGAGCATACTTGATAATGGTTGTTTTCTTGGTGTAACTCTGTAACAACACTTTCAATAATATCACATCCTTGTTCCCTTGAAATTTTCTTCTGTGCTGCAACTAAGTTCCTTGGATCAATATGGCCACCACCATTATCATCCAAAAGAGCGATTTCATCATCCTTAAATAGCAAATAAGGATATCTGTAATAAAAAAAAACATTTGCTAACTTTAGTTTTAGTTGAAAATCTAATAGAAATTCTTAAAATGCATGTTTAATAGTTTCTTTCATGTAAGTTGATCTAAACTAATTGCTTATGCATCTTTCCTCTGTGCTACAGCTAATTTTCAGGCCATTAATATGGCCACCACCATTATCAGTGAAAAGAGCAATTTCATCATATTCTAATTTTAAATATGACTATCTATAATTAAGAACTTTACCCGTCTTTCGCTTCAGAATGTATTAAAGAATCTTATAAAATTCGTGAAATCTTCATTTATTATCTGCTGTTACATAAGTTGGTCTAAGGTAATATTAATTTGAGTATAACTAAAACCATTGGCGTTTCATGAAAGAAAAATTGAGGGATTATTTCTTTTAATACTTTTGTTAATTTAAAGATAAGTTGACAATGTATCATGCATTTTATGCATCTCTCATGCTTGTGATAATCACATGACCATAAAGGAATTATGCAAATTGATACCAAACTTATATGAAATGTAAATTGAGGTAGGACAATTAATAAATTAGAATAAGAAAGCGACTGCGCATGTATTGAATCTTTGTTGAAATTGCATCACCATGAAGGAATTATGCAAATTTTAACCAAACCTATATGAAATGTAAATTAGCTTAAGACATACAAATGATTAGGATTACGAAGCGACTTTGCATAATTATTTGTACCACTATATGTCGATGGTGTTCAACTTTCACAATCGTTAATGTACATCAGTGTTTCCCAAAGTGTGGTACGCGTACCCCCAGGGGTACGAGAACAGCTTAGCGAGGGTACGTGGAAAATATTNAAAAGCAAAGCTAGCTATGAAAATTTACGATTACGTATTTTCTATTTACTATTATTTTTTTTGCAGAGTTAACAGTTAATAATTAGTGGAGTCAACAGCTAGTTGTGATTTTTAACTTTTGAGCAATTTTTTATAGTAAAGGTTTGTAATAAATTCTACTTGTTTTGATTATTTTTATAAAATATAATTTTTGTCCCTAACATAGAATTTTTTACCGAAAACTATGTACCAAAAAAGAAAAATAAACATATTTTAAAAAAAATTCAAGCATTTTTTTCATAGTGGTACACATCGTTGCGAAAAATTTGGAAGGGGTACACAAAACTCATAAGTTTGGGAAACACTGGTGTACTTGCAATAAATTTTATATATTCAAAACAATAGAGAAGAAGTACTAGGGAAAAAAAGCAATAACAAAAATCTCAAAATTAAGAGTAATCTGAATTACTTTTAACATTATTTTCGTTTCGGGAATAATTTTAAATTCAGCTCTAAAAGCACTTGCTGACTATGACGTATCCCTTCGAAATATAATCATGAAATTACTTTGCTGAACTACATAGTTTATGTACGAAAATTCATTTTTAAAAATAAATAAAAGCAGCATAGTTTTTTAGGAGTTTCAAGAAAGAAATTAAGAGCAAATTATTAAGAATGTGCATTCTCAGTCATCTAAAGCTAAGTTTATGACTATAGCAATTTTTTAATTTATTAATATTTAGATCGAAATAAATACCTACCTTCTTGTGAAGGTATCTCTGCATGATACATCTGTTATTGATACATTTTTTGCATCCGCAGCTTTTAGCAAATCTTTCATATAAGGATTATTTTTTTGAATGATGAAAAGGCAGCCAACGGGTGTATGGAATTTTATTCCTGAAAAGAAATTTTTAAAATTGATATCACTTTTATTACAAACAAATAAAACCATATTAAAAATAAATATTAAAATTTTTTTGAACATAATGCAAATAAATAGAATAAAATTAGACTCATGATCCAGACCACTTAATCCCAGGATCCTTCTCGCTCCCGTGATATTGACGGGCTGATGTGTTAAAGAATAAAACTAATCCATTTCTTTTGCCCGGAAAGCATTTTATTTCTCATTTTACACACCAGGTGGCAGTACCAGGATATTTTTAAGGTAATTATAGATTGTTATTTTATTTTAAACTAGTTGCAGCCCTAATCAAATACGTTATACAAATACAAAAGCCAAAAAAATAGGCACTTTTATGACCGTTTTCTTGAAAATTAACGGATAGTTAAGGGGTTAATAATAAATTTTATTGAAATAAAAAGCAAATTTATTTAATTTATTGTTATAATAGAATTTATTCATATTATTGCTGTATTTGCATTTATTCATTTTATTGTTGTATTTTCACTTAATTATATTTCTTTTAAGCTTGCATTTATTCATCTTATTGTGGTATTTTCATGCATTCTATTAATAATATACATTGTTATTTCATATTATAGCTTCATATTGTTGTTATATATTTTACTTCGTTTTGTTACTTTATATCATTGTTTCATATCTTTGTAAATTACATTTTTCTATAGTTGTTTGGTTTCGTTGCATGATTTTTAAATTTATTGTAATTTTGGATTATTGCTGCTCATTTTGTTTGTATATCGTTACTTACATTGTTGCTGCAGGTCGTTACTTCATACTCATTCTATTTCCGTTTGATTCGATTACAGTTATACATTGTTGTTTCATATTATACCTTCATATTGTTGTTCTTAATAGTTATACATTTAATTTCATTTTTGTTTCTTTATATCATTGTTTCCTGTTGTTGTAAAGCGAGTTTTCATATAGAAATTTGATTTCGTTGTATGATGTTGATTTTTTATAGTTGCTAATGATTTTTGCTTTTTATCTGATTCTTGTATCATTACTGTTGTTGTATATTGTTGTTTCGTATTTATTGTATTTATGCCTCTGTACTATTGTAAATTGCGTTTTTACATCGATGTTTGATTTTGATGTATAATGATTTTTATTATTGTTTAAGGTTATTGCTGTTCACTTTGTTTTTTATATCATTACTTATATTGTGTTACATCGCTACTTATATTTATGAAATGTTGTGTATTGTTGTTTCATATTGCCGTAATAGTCGGCCTTCTGCACCCAAATCTGCGGGTTCGATCCCCGGCCCAGACTCCGGATTTTCGGGATACAGAAAATCCTCAGCGGCCATGTCGTATGATTATGCGGCATGTAAAAGATCCCTAGAGTGCCTTATTGACTCTTGGCATTTTCGGCAAAATTAAATTCCTATTGCACTTTAGCATCCAAATAGAGTCTCGGTGCTGCCATCTAGTGTGGCAGAAACTAGACTTCCAAATTAACATGACCAACGGTATCTCACCCATTGTGGTGGTCCTGAAAGTGTGGATACCACCTCTGGAGAACGCACTAGGTCTGCTCATCGGCAAGACCGATTGTGCAGCTCATTGGAAATAAAAAAAAT